CTCATAGATATTTTTCAATTAGTCCTGTATAGAAGCCAGAAAAATCACATATATCACACTACAAAGATACCAAACTACAGCTTGAAAAATGCTTATTGCTTTTCCATCTCAATACTTTTTCACTAGAGGCAATCTGCGCGAGATTCCATTTTTTGGTTCGGTTTTTAGGGCATGCGCATTAAATCCAGTAATTTGATTGGTTCAAATTATTATAACGCATGCGCAATTAATAACTTAGTAGGAACATTTAATTTGAGATAGATGTCACTTATGCTCATTATTTCACAGCAGTCTCTACCCATAATGCACCATATATTGCGGAAATATTTTTGTTTAGTGTCAAAACAAAAAGTATACAACCAAAACAAATGAAATAACATAATATCAACCTGCCCCGGGTTTGTAGACGTGTCTGGTACAAACTTAAACCGAACCGATGGCAGAAAAGCACTTTGAATCATGGGAATGGAGTACTTCCTTTAATGAAAAACCGAACCAAGTAAAAACCGAATCTCGCGCAGATTGCCCCGACTCTACTTTTTTGACTATGAGTTTGAATTTTTTTAGGTTCAATGTACAAATGACTTTTTCTCATCAAGAAAAAATCTAAGAGAGCTGTCTAATCTGCATTTCTCGATGTGCATCGCGACTTCTTAAACCTACATGTACCTATATATTTACTACTTGAGTTTCTTATTCTGGTTTAAACTGATATTACTGATTAATCAGAATAACTCTTTACAAAATCTTTGAATCTATCAAGCATTTATCTAACGTACTTCCAACTTACTTTACCTATTGGGCTACTTATCGTATCACCATGGAAACCTGGTTTTATTTTCCCAATGAAACTATAGCTTTATTTCTTGTGGAAAATCAACACCTTTCCCAAATGTTTATTTTACGATAGTGCCAGATGCTTTGGTGTTCACGGTATGTTAAAGTGTGAATGGTTAGTAATTGGTCAGATTTTATGGGGCGTATACAATGTCTTAAAAATAGTACTTGTATCAGATCAAGGTGAAAATTGATAAATTGTTGATAAAAGCGCCAAAAAAATCAAATAAAAATGTTATCTTTGTTTACTCCTAATGGTAAATGAAGATACTGTGGGTTTCCTTCATTCAAGGTTTTTATTATTTATATTCAGAATTATGAAATTCCATTGCCTACTCTTTTCATTATAGTTTAATATTGCTTCTTAAAAGAGAGCTAATGTACTACTTGTCTCGACACTTAGGCTATCCATTGTCATACCTATTACCTAAAAGTGTATCTCCAATTGGAAAAGCTATTGATGTGAATGGAAATATACACTTGGTATATTCTGGTTGGTCACATGCAGTCATGTGATACATTCTGTGATAGTTTTCCTCCTGTGGGAGTCTGGGGACTATAAGTATAAGTATAACCTAATAGTGGTCCTTACATTCACAAATTGAAAAATGTAAATGTAAACATGAACTGTTAGTCTGTTAGTGTTAGCACATACTCTACAATAAAGGCCTAAGATTAACTCCCAGCCTATTTTTCATTTTGCATCTTTCCGTGTAAACCAATGGGTTACTGAGTCTCTAGCTAGCCTCATTCTATTCATTTTATAACATTTGAAATATCTTCTTGATTTCTGGCATATCTATATAGCCATTTAGTATGTTGATAGTCGACAGGGTTCGGCAGTTTGGTTGTCAGCATTTGGGGTTTGGCATTTGGTGGTCATTGTTGGGCTTTTTGTAACAAACAAATGGCAGTGGTGAAAGTTTGCATGTTTAAATGCCTGGCATATTGATAAGTTAATCTTGCAATCAATTTATATAAAAGTTACATAAACTGCATTTGAGATTTGTAAGACTTATCAAAACTGTAAATAAAAAAATAAATCATCCGTAATAGTTAGAGGCATATGGCCTGTTGATGGAAATCAGGGTTCAAATTCAAAGACGCATTGAGCGATGAGCCCGCATAGATAGCTGCCCAGCAGTCTAAACAGCCACAAGATCTAGCAATCTTAGAATAACATAAACAGTTTATTCAACCAGCCAGGTATTTCCTGGAGGTATTTCCATCAATGTTTTGTTTTATTGAGATTGTTATTTGATCTCAATTGAAGCGCAATGATTTGTGTAATCCAGTATAAGAATTTAACGCTTAATTGTATTGTTTATATTGGTGTTCTAGAGTGTCCCTTATGAATTTGGAACCTCCTGCTTTTAGGCTGTCTGTCTCTGTTCTTTTTATTTTGCTAGAAGCATACATTATTAAAAGCATTGATACCTCATTATAAAAGAAGTCATTGACCTTTTCCATGTTTTGATCAATGAGGAGTGACCCCCCCCCCACCCCTCCCCATATAGATAGGTCAGGCATTGATCCTGATCACCATTTTAGATGGGGAAACATTCACTGAATCCATCACCCAATAATCTTTTAATATTCTAATTTGATATATCATTTATTTAGCAGGCTGTATCAATAAATCATCTTGAATTTGAGAGTTGACAAGTTGAATCAAGCTCTTGTAAAGAGTATTGGGTCACATCATTGTTTAACATACGAGGCATCACATTAACTCAAAGGTTTCTACTCCAAAAATACACCTTCAAAGTGATTCACCTAAAATTATCTAATGTTTTAGATTTAGGTAAAAATGGATGCTACTGGGCTATCTTATCACTCACTTGTCAGACGTTTATAGAATTTGTTCTCTACAAGTCCCAATTAGCTGTTGGAAATGATTAGTGAAGGGATAACACATTTCTTGCCCTACATCATTTTTACTAACCCTGAAGTCTCTGACCGAAAGTATATAATAACTATGCTCTGACTAGAATAGACAGTTTGAGTTTTTTGCTGATAATATTTTGAAAAATCTGATTGGGTAAGCCTCAGAGGATTATCTCTTTATTGCAGAGTTTAGATGATGCTCACTTTTAAATGAACAAAATCCCAATATTGAAAAGGGTCTTACTGGATGTGAAAGATTATAAATCAGGAATTTCTTGTTTAAGGAGTTGAGAGATCTATTATTGTAAACATCTCAGCCAGATGTTCCTGAGAAATAAATAGTTATTGTTTCTAGTTTAGAGTGTTTTTGTCCTTTTCAAGCAAGATTGAGAAAGAATTAAGTTAGGGGCTCTAGATATAATGTTGATTTTATAATATATAAAATTAGCTTGTTTCTGGTGTCAGTCATTTCAAATTTTCATAATTATAAAATGTTTAACTTTGTGGTTCAAGTACATTTGCTCTTATTGTTAAGGATTTTGAGGGTTAGATTATCCTATAATCTGAAATTAGATGATGCAACATTATATATGTTTACAAGAGTTCAAATGTATGGCCTTATACTAACATACATGAGAAAGTACAAATAAATTAACATTCTATCAGGAATCCCCTGTGCATCAAAAAATGTACTTTTTGAAACGTTTTATCCAATAGTCTATTTGTTGCTTGGTTTTGGACTCCTGTATTCCTCTGGAAATATCTTAATGGTCTTAAATGCATATCCCAATAGGAGTTACAATAGAAAATAAATGTTAGCTACCTGTAGTCAGAAAACACATATTGTTCAAAATATCAAAATTCGTGTCTAATCTATATCTTGGCTGAAATGAATATTGTATGATAGCAATTATTTCATTAAATATATTTGTATGTACAAGAACTGATATAAAAGCTCAGATTTTAAAAGGAAAAAGTGTATTTATAATTTAAAGGTATAGAATAGATGAACCTCAACTGTAGTGAAGGGTCTCTGCTCTCCTAGGCTGTGCCATGAGGGAGTTGTCCTTTGACATTGATGATAGAACATATGTTGTCAGACATAACCTGACATTTAAAGATTAGCACTAGGGACCCATCTATCTCTTAAACCACACCCCTAGGCCCTGTCTCTCATATATAGATGGATGATTTAATGCCTGTATAGCTGTGCATTCCTGGTCCTTGAAACCACCCCGTCAAACTGTTTTGCTATTTTTGACAATGATTCTTTAATTTTGATATGGATATAAATTTTAGACGATATGAAAAGTTTGGGTCATTTTTGCGATATAATTAATCTTAAATAGGCAGTTGCTAGGCTGTAAGGGCCTAAATAAGATCCATAGATTAGGTACTGCTACTCACAGTGTGGTAGAAGGAAGTGGGAGGTACCTTGGCTACTTATACTGGGGATACTAATTAATAATCACTGGGTTTAATTAAAGAATCCACTTAAACTGTTATTACTAAGTGCTTTGACATTATTTATCTCTTGTTCTGTAATTGGAGTCTTTTATCATTTAAGCTTTATATATGACATTTTGTTGAATTATAAGTTTTGTTGAATATATGTTGATGTCTTGCTCGTTTGATCAGTATGTATACAAAATGATGTTTCTTCAATTTTTTAACTGTTGATGTTTTGGGATTATAAATGTTTCTTCAATTTACATATCATTTTTAGGGGTTGTTTTATCTAATTGCTACAGTTGATAAATCTGATAAAAGCAATGACAATTTTTGTGGTTTTTATCATTCTTGGGGGGAGGGGGCAAGCAATATTGTGATCAGTTGGTTGTTCATTGTTTCATCTGAATCTGAGGAATTCTTGATCTAAACTTGAGAGAGACTGAAAGATCATATCTCAATGACTGGAAGTAGGTAAATGTGGAAGACCAATCCAGATCTTAGAGCTGATAACTTCCTTGTCTTGAGGAAGCTATTCTAGAACATGAAAACTCTTGTACAAGTAAATTGACTTCAGATAGAATATCTCGAAATAACCAAATGTTGCTCGTCATTGTCACTGTTAAGGGGGTACTGTTTCCAGTGTATATGGCAAGAATAAATATAATTGCTAAAAAATGTCAAATTCTGGAAATCTATTAAGTGATTATTTTCATATCAGAAACAGGTTTCTGCTTGCAAGCAATTTGCAGACCATAAAAAAATTGATTGTGACATTTTTACTGAAAACTGCTACAAAATGAAAACATATTGTGATAATGGCTTACCAAAGTCTGCATTGCAGAAATGTTCCTGTGGGTGGGCAGGCATACAAGAACAGCTAAGCACAGTGTCAATTAGTGCATTCAATCCCAGAAACACCCACAGCATGAACGTCGTCGTCTCCATGGTGACTTGTTGTCTTATGATTATTTTTAGCCCTCACTGGTTGTTGACCAGTATGTGGTTGTGTGGTCGGCAAGAAACACAAGCGATTTCTTTGATTTGGTTTCTAAATCAAGTTTCTCGTCCCTAAGCGTATCTATTCGTATCTGCTTGATCAGCCTTGCCTGAGTGAACTCAATGTTACAGCTAAAATATCTTCGATTTTTATGTCCGGTAATTCTATTTATGTATTGGAGTGGTACTTCATCTAGGCCTTAAAAGGCTAATGTTATATTGTCCTTTGTAATCTGTTTGAATTTGGCTTTCTTTATGGATTATCTGTTGCTTGCTATACTGTTATTTTGTGGTAAAGATTAATTCGCAGAACTTCAGTCTCTCCTGGGAATTTAGAAATTTCGTTAATTTGTTCTTTTACTCTCCAGAGTGTTTAATCTTCTCTTAACCTTATTAAACCTATACACTACAGTCTGACATGTTAAATCGGGAGTATTCTATTCCTTACTATTTGTTTGAACGTGACTCAAGAATTTCCGATTTCTTCCCTGCAATTCTTATGCAATTCCCTGCATGGATCCTGAAAATACAAATCAAAAATGTGTTAAATATATCCCATTGTCTGATAGTGTTTCCGGTTATATAAAACACAACAAAGCTTTTAAATTGTCTTTGAGTTGATAAATGGGTTACATAATGCTGATCAAAATCCAGACTCGCTAAAATATATAGTGACTTTTATGCAGGTGTGATTCTGCTGGCAAATACTGTATAAAAAGATAAAATATTGTGCTGTTTACAAAAAAAGTATTATTAATATTTTGAAAGAATATAACGGAGAGAAAAAGAGTCAAATTAAACTCATGTTCTTTTATTTTTTAAGTGTTTTATTTAGTTAGATATCTTAGATCAGTATCAGTGTGTTGACTGTGCATAAGTACTGTATTGTATTGAATAAAAACTATTTGTTAACCATCTTCTTATACAGCCATGCTCCTGAATTTTTAACGAAATTAGATATCGGACATTCAATAAATAACGTTTGATTTTGTTTCTGATCTCCTTCAGACTAAATTAAGCCAAACATTTGATCAAATAAAACTTTTTTCAATTGCCGTGTTATTAGAGGTATAACCTTACCACCGTATGAAGATCTAGGTAAGTTTACATGCGTACAAGCAGAAGAGTCAATACTACATTCAGTAATCTTTCTTTATGTGGAGTCTGGTCTGATCTCATAGATTTACTAATCTAGTATTTGGATTTATATTCAGTTCCATAAAAATCCATTTGATTAACCAAGTCGGTAGAGCCAGAGACAGAAAACGTATGGAATCATATGTTTTTATTACCCTATGTTTTTTATCCTGTTAATACACCAGATCAAAAGCTCATGCCAAAAACAATATTGTATGTGTCTCTGACACTAGAACCCCTCCCTAATTGCTTATTGTAAAGCAGGCTGATTTCATGACTGTGATTTCTGTTAAATCTGAATCTATATAAATATAATATACATAGACCTGTTTATTGAATCAAATGGTATCCTCTCTACTTATTTTAATTATTTGATATTACCTTCTTAAACAGTAATAATAACACTATATGAATAAATATACTCCAAAGCATGTAAATATTACCAATTATAAAAAAGAAAAATATCAAAAATAATTATTGATTTACAGTATATTGATATATTGTTGCTGTTAAGAGTCATTACTGTAGAAAATGTGCCCCAGGGGACCAGTTATGTTCAAGGAACTCTATGTAGCCATGGGGTCCAAACCAACCGTGATATTTATTCCTTTTTTCCTAAATTATTCTTTCTATATGTAAAACACTAAACAAATGAGTTTTCTGCTAATAATGCATGAATGAAAAAACTTGTTTATAAAGCACAGATGTGTTATATTGTTGTCACGGTGATAAAAGCCACTTAACACTTTTATCTCCCATCTCTATGGTGAATATTATTTGTGATATACAACAGTATGTATAATTGTAGTTTTAGTTGCCATTGATTTCTTTAATGTTTTTCACGATAGTATGATCCAAATAGAAATTGGAATTCAATAGTGCCAGACATGAAGTCAATGTGACACTAATAATAAAGAAAAAGTATAATCATCAAAAATACCAATATACTTATTAATACTATAATAAACTATATAATATGTTTTTATGATCTCTATAACCTGGGGGTATGCTATAGTGCAATAAGTGAGGCTCCCAATAGGAAAAATCTGTTTCTGTATTATATCATTTTTGGGCTTTTAATCTTTTTTCATATCACTTATAAATATTTGAAGGTTTTTGGTTATATCGCAAAAAATTGTTTTTACTTGTCTATTGTTCAACACCTTTGTTTCCTTTTTGTCCACATGATCGGAAATCCGTTGGCACCTTGTCGGTTTTTATATTAGGTGCCCCGTAACTAATCACATTCCTATGTATAGGCTGTGATGGCATTTGCCTTATCAGCCAAAAATCAATTTCCTGCTGCGAACCAGTACTATATGTTTTTATATGCAATTCATAGCATATTTTTTATTGTTACCTGACTCTTAGAATTGATGGAACATACAATCAGGTGTTATTCTTCTATTGTCATTCAAAGCGATTATTTATTATTTATTTCTTAATTTGATGGTTTTTGATAATATTATCAATATTATTTTCATATAGATTTATCTCAAAATTATTTCTCTTTTGAAAGCATAAATACTCTCTAAATACTCTATACATTAAAAAAAAAATTACTTACAAATGTGCCAGTAATATACCAAAATCAGAAAATGCCAAATAATCTAAAAAATATTCATCAAAATTAATCCAATAGAAAATGTTAGCATACTTACATGTACCTAGACTCCCCTATAATACCTCCTTGTACTGTATTGCTTTAGACTAACAAACCGATGACTTTAATATGTAATAATAATGTAGTCTGTATACTACTATGTCAGTAATTAGCACTGATGGCTCCAAGTGGTTCTCTCCTTATATTTATACCAAACTAGCAAGCCTCACTGCCAACCTGGTGGTATCTACATACCGTATTGCTTACACTAAACGCCTACTCTATTTACCAGCCACTGCCTGGTATACCTGATGTGTACAGAAGTGGATCCTGTTTTCTTGAAATTCTCCAAATTATTTTGGCAATGATCATGAAGTTTTATATTGATGAATATGCTGTTATTAATTCCAAGTTATATGTAATTCATTAAACAAAAATTACAGATATATTTTACAGGTTTATTTTTGGCAGATTTTTATATTACCAGATTTATGTATTATATCCTGTTGGCTCTTTCTGAATGATTTCAGCAATGATTAAGTAGTATTAATATGCAATCAAATTGAAAACATTTTTTTGTATTAGAATCAAATTTATATTACATCATCAATTATATCAAACAAAAATGTGCAAAAAGTGATTTAGTCAAAAACTTAACATTTAATTATGTTCACACACGAAATGGTATCTTATATTGCTAGGACCTGCTTGTTCCGCTTGTGATATCTAATGTTGCCCTTTGAGTATTCTTTTATTCCTTGCAAAAAACTGGTTCAAGTTTTTCCTTGAGGAGAAAAAAGGAGCAAATTGGCTTTTCATATGGTGCTAGAGATACCAATTAAGGCAATAATACTTTTCTTAAATACAGTTTCTTATATCTGAACTTTTGGGGGCATTTTTAAAATATGTACTAGCAAGGAATAAAGTAAGCGTAACATATGAAATAGAAATGCAAGAAATTACAAGTAGTGAGAAGACAAGCAGCCTATGTGATATATTCAGGCCAGGTTACACTAACTCCTCCTACTACAGGATCCAGCTGGTAGCACAGTGCTACACAGTGCCACACAGTGCAGGATCTGCTTGTAGCATCTTCCGCAACCCTTGCATCTCCGGCATACCTTCATCCTACACCTTCCACTTCTCAGGCCTTCACATCATCAAATTCAACAATATTTCAGTTTCATTTATCCAACCTGGAATGACCCATATCAAGGATCTCCTTAATCGTTTGTAGTCATTCACCCAATTTTTAATGATTTTAGCCTTGGAAAAGAAAGAATAATGATTAGGCTCCAGGAATTAGAAAACTTGATGGGCGATATATTAAAGCTGTAACAGAAATCTCCTAAAATATATCAACTAATCAAATCAACTGTCAAGAAGAGAAACAGCTGTATAAAGTACAATATGGAACTTTATAATTAATGGGATGGGTTGTCTATTTTTAGAGAAATATGATATAAATACAAATATGATTACATCATTTGTTATATGAATTTATACATTCTCAATATAACATCATTATATTAGATTCAAAATATGCCAGATAATTGGTGTAGTATAACATTATTATTCCACCATTGTTATAAATGTTGTATAGTATGTAGAGATTATCCTATAGTCGGTTCAGGATATTGGGATTATCCCGAGGCCAATATAATATATCTGCCCGAGGGCCGTTTATCCCATACCAATCTTGGTCATCCAGTTCACATTGTTCAATTGGCCACACCTCAGAAATTTTCCATTCAACCTTGGAAATAGTTTAGAATATTCATTTCCAGTTTTGTTTTCTTGGTCGTGGCTGGATTTTCCAGTTCTTTCAGATATTCACACACATTTATTTTCTTGAATCTTTGATTATTAACAGGATGCCCCTTCCCTTCTATAAACCATCAAACAGATCACGGTTTTTTTCTATTGTCGTTTACAGTTATTATGCGAACATTACAAAATGAACCAATATGCGAACGGCAATTGCGACGTAGTGGGCAGATATACTATATCTACCCGCTCGGAGCGGGATGTAAAGCTATATCTGCCCGCTGATGAAAATATAAGTTTTTATAAACCTGCTTTATATACCTATAACACCTCCAAGTATGGGATAAATATATTCATACATTTGAATTTACATTTTTTCTAACACATTTTTGAACATGTTGCTATATATGTATTTGAATGATTTTCTTTATTTAAAGAGACAAATAATTTATACATATTATTCTCTAGAATTGAATTTTCCACTTTTGAATAGGAATTTCTTCCTCTATAGGAATAATCTGTTTTGAGCAGAGTTAAGAGATTCATGGGATTTTTCCAGGCTTAATTTTTTTAGGGCTGGAACATTCTAATAAGAAAATTAGACAAAATTTGAAATTCTCTAGAATCCCTTAGGATTCAAAAATGTTACAAAATATTATGCATCTTTGAAACAGGATGTTTTGATCATTTTTCCTATCTTAGACCTTGTCCTAGATATTAAAAAGACTGACCACAGATTTTCATGATGTACAATATGCTCATGTAAACTAACATCATTGGCCATAGCTTTCTCTCATGATTAAGTCCTATTGTTCCGTCTTAATTATTATCTATTGTTAGAGCTATGCTACGTAATAGTTCATGGCGTGAGGTTGTATTACATGTAAGGGTCGTTGTATCAGAGAATGCAACCTTGGAGAGTGTGCCGTCTCTTCCAGGATGCTGCTATCACAAAAGGCCATACGTCAAAGTAAATAGGTGTTATCTAATCTTAATTCACTCTTCACGGAATGTTAGAACTCCATAGACGTTTGTTTTCAGTTTCATGGGGTGTTAGAACTCCATGATGTTTGTTTTTATTTTTTTGTTGATGTTTTCCATAGTCTTGTGATGTCATATTCCAAATATGGTGTTATTTACTAAATATATTGTGCCTCCTACTCATTTTTTGAAAAGTTTTAAATGGAAACGTGGGATTAGTTTTTGCAAAGTGCATGGTTAATTATTTGAGATAAATGAGGGCAATGACATCAAATGGGATATTTTAATCTAAAACAAGTGTTTGATCTGGTTTATGGTTTTATTTTGGGGTATCTTGGTTGTGGTCCAAAAAAACTTGTTTTTTCCTATCTTGGTATTGCTCTTGCAATGTTTCTATTGGTTCTTCAAGCTATATTGTTAATATTTTATAATTGAATATTATTTGATATGTATATCGGAAACCAAGCATGAAATGATGGTAAAACGATTAAAAAAGACCCATATAATTTTTTTTTTAATATGTAATGCTAGGTAAGATATTTATACTTATACTATTATACTAAAAAAATTCTGATCAGTTGAATATATTTTGTAAAAGGTGATTTTTCAATATTTACTAGCTGTTAGAGGACTGTAATGAGTTTTAACTGCTGTAAAAAGGTTGATATAGATTTACCTATTAACATGTAAATGTCTCTTGAAGTTCATGGTGTTGAAGGTCATCCTAAATCTGGATATTTTACAGCAAATTAGCCTATTGTTGCCCCATAAGCAATAAATAATCACTAAAATATGGTCTATCAGGAATTGGAGTAATCTTGTTCATGTATTTTATATGCCTTGAGATAGATTGTATCTATTATAGGGGGTCCTATGGGAGACTGATTATGTATGATGGCTTTGTAAAAGGATTAGGTCTCGTCTGTCTTGTATAAAAAATAAATTAGTGTTTTTCCTTAATTTTGTTTGTTGAAGTGAAGCTAGGGTATGCATTATGTTGACATAGGAAAAAAGGAGATTACCTGAAAAATTCCTGAAAATCCTGAAGTGTACAGAGGAGTTGAAATATGATGATTCCAAGAGAGAGAAATATCCCAGAATTCATAGGTGATATCTCTATGTCTAGTGGGTCATCCTTCACAGGAGATTGATTCATCTATGAATTCTGGAGTATTCTTCCCTCTTAATGTAATCCTAATTTCTATTTTTCGAAATTCGTGCTGGCCTATTAAAATTGCATCAGTTCGATGTACATTACAAAGATAAATAAAAGACGACAAAATAAATTATGATTTATGTCATACAGCACAATTCTAGAAATATGAATGCAATGTGAAATAGTTTAATTGGGTATTAATAATTTATGTAACAACAACAGTATAAATTTTGCATAATTGAAACAATAAAACAAGAAAATGGGTTACCTTTCATACTTCTGAAATGATGACTCTCTGTTTGTCTGTTTTGAATAACAGTTTGTAGTTGTTATCATGTATATTAGATATACAGGAGCTTAATTAATGTTATCAAAAGTAAGTGTTAGCTTAATGAGAAGGTGAAAACACTAATTCAATCATAAGATTAACACCTGGTCGTGGGAACTATATATACCTTACACCTGTACCAGGTATATGTTTGTTACACATGTTCCCTACATGTAACATACCTGTGATATATCTGTTTTTAATTAGTTCATCTTATATCATTCATATATTTAGAATATTACTGTAAAATATCTGAATGCCTCTCAATGTGAGCACTTTTTCCGATCCTTTTTTTTAATACGCCATTAACTTAAAAACCCCTGCTAATCTGAACAGTTTTGGCCAGTCCCAATTGAGGTGGGATAAGACAAGTTTTTCTGTATATAATAGGACTCTGTCAGTGTGTTTGGTTAAAAAACTGTTCGCGAAAATATTGCTGTTTGCTAAAGTGAATTGAAAAATGAATAGTGTCGGAGCGAGAGAAAATCTTGGCATTATTGATGCTCCTAAGTTGTATAAAGCTCAATGTTGGGGCTATTTGGGCTTTCCATTTTGGATGATGTTCTGATTGCGGAAAAGACAATAGCAGGTTGTGCAAAAATGTTCTAATACATCAGAAAAAAAACTTTTGCTTAATGAAGTGTCAGTATGAGTTATTTGATTTTTTCATTTAATTGTGATAAGAGCTGAAAAACTGAACTGAAAAGCAAAAAATGTGAACCGATCCAAGAAATTATGAAACTGTTGGAGCCCTATTACTTACTATGAAAGCCTAAGTGGAATTTACACTTTGTACACATTTCTTAAGAATATCATATAATGGTATTCTGGTATGTACTTTTATCTTTTGTTTCTTCTACATAGCATATCTGTTATTATTTAATTTTTCAAAAAATCCCAGGGTTTGGTGGCGACATGTCTCATGTTTATCACAGCAAGTGACATTGAAAGTGAATTATGATAATTAAAATGATCCATATACTCTATTTATTCAAGAGTCTCATTGATACGAAAAATTCAAAATCAACAATATTCATCATTGTATAATGAAAGTTATTATTTTGCGTCTCTTGAAATCAACATAAGACATATTCTT